CTCGATCTTAATTTTCTATGATGCTCTGTATTTTCATGGGACAATCATTCTTAGTTGTGACTTTTACATTTTGCAGACTTGGTGGGAACCCATTGTGCAATGAATCTAGCTCGAGTTCGTTCTGTCAGCCTCCACAATCAAATACAAAACCGTATGCTACTAGCACGGATTGTCCATCCAATAATTGCCCCGGGGGTCAGCAGCCAAGCCCTCAGAGTTGTCAATGTGGATATCCTTATAAAGGAACACTGGATTTCCGAGCACCCTCTTTCGGGGAATTGACAGATATGACTCTGTTTCAATCCCTAGAAACGAGCCTATGGCTGAAACTTAACCTCACTCCCCATTCAGTGTCACTTAATAACCCTTTCTTCAACATCTATGACCATCTTGAAATACATGTGGCTCTCTTTCCACCTACAGGAACATATTTTAATAGGTCTGAGATTATCAGGATTGGTTTTGACATGAGCAATCAGATTTACAAGCCGCCACACGGGTTTGGACCCTTCATTTTTATTCCAGCTCAATATAATTTCCCAGGTAATTTTAAATCACAGTGTTCATGTACACTTTCCCTGCATTAGAAGATCAATTAAACTGACAGTAAAAAACCCGAATTGTTTCAGACACGCATACAAGATCTATGAGCACTGGTGTTATTGTTGGGATATCAGTTAGTTGTCTCATTCTTGTTGTGGGCCTCGTGGTAGTAGGAATTTACGCCATTAGGCAAAAGAAACGTGCGGAAAGAGCCATTGGTTTAAGCAGACCTTTCGGTGAGTAACCATTCCTGTTGTGGATGATTTGTAGACTGAGATTCTGTCATTAATACTAGATACTGTTCAGCTTATATTCACTATTCTCCTCTTATCTTCCAGCTTCTTGGGTGCCAAGCGGAAATGATAGTGGCGGTGCACCACAGTTAAAGGGAGCAAGATGGTTTTCGTATGATGAGCTTAAGAAGTGCACCAATAATTTCTCTGACAGTAATGAGATAGGATCTGGCGGCTACGGGAAGGTATATATACAACTCATTCAGTAACATCTATGAAATTGTGCTTGAAGGTAAAAGAATTTTTTTCTTTACTTTTCGGTTGGCTATCCATAGGTTTACAGGGGCATGCTTTCTGATGGACAAGTGATAGCAATCAAAAGAGCTCAGCAAGGATCAATGCAGGGAGGCCTCGAGTTCAAGACTGAAATTGAGTTGCTCTCTCGCGTTCATCACAAAAATGTCGTTGGTCTTTTGGGATTCTGTTTTGAACAAGGAGAGCAGATGCTGGTTTACGAGTTTATGCCTAATGGAACACTTAGGGAAAGCTTGTCAGGTCAGTTCTAGATTTTACTTCTCGCTAATTCATATTTTTAGTTTTATGTTGTTGGAAGTTGGAGGTTATCGGGACTCTCATTGCCGCAATCCTTGTCATTTAGGGTTAGTGTTTTACCCAGCATATAACTCTCGGCAAGGGTTTAGGGATCTAGGGTTTTATCCTGGATACTTAGTCATGATGTTCTTTTCCTTCAATTAAGGAACTTTGCTGTTTTGTTATTGTAAATAGATTAGGAGCGTCTCAAGGAGTGATTAAGGGAGTGATTGAAGTCTGTTTCTTCACTCCTCTTCTCTATATATGTTTGAGTCCTTGTAAAGTGTTTCCTTACGTAAAAAATACACAACACCTCTAAACTTTCCACATATGTGTTTCATTTAGTACCATTGATTTAACACGTAATGATAAGCTTTGTTTTAATATGAGATGCAGGGAGATCTGGTATTCATCTCGATTGGAAGAGGAGACTCCGAATCACTCTTGGCTCGGCAAGAGGACTGGCTTACCTACATGAGCTTGCAAATCCTCCTATAATTCACAGAGATGTGAAGTCCACCAATATTCTATTAGATGAACATTTAACGGCGAAGGTTGCAGATTTTGGCCTGTCGAAGCTCATCAATGACAGCGGAAAAGGACATGTCTCGACTCAGGTCAAGGGAACAATGGTAAGTTTACAATTAAGCATTTCGAATGTTATCATTTATAACTACCTAAAATGTTGGAACCCATTTGTCTCACATCGGACAGAGGGAAGGAGAAAGAGTACTTTACATAGAATTAGCCCACTCTAACTAATACCGAGGCCTTTTGTAATAAAACCCCACACCTGAGGATTGGGCAGGTGGTAAAGTGGGGACAGTATCGGTGTTGTTGGAGTGGACCCTCGGCCCATCAACCTGAAAATTTTACTTAAAATGTGATCTGCTAGCTTAAGCACTAAGCCTGAAAATCGTGATTTCCAGTTTCAACATTTCTTGTATAGTAAGTTTACTGTCTACACTTTCAGGGCTATCTGGATCCTGAGTACTACATGACTCAACAATTGACTGAGAAGAGCGATGTATACAGCTTTGGAGTCGTTATGCTTGAACTGATAACTGCTAGGCAGCCAATCGAGAAGGGAAAATACATTGTCCGCGAGGTACGATTGGTGATGGACAAGAATGACGAAGAGCATTACGGTTTGAGGGAGTTAATAGATCGAAACATTAGGAACTCAGGAACTCTTATTGGGTTTGGGAGGTTCTTGGAGCTAGCCATGCAATGCGTCGAAGAATCATCTGCAGATCGTCCCCCGATGAGTGAAGTTGTGAAGGCTATCGAAACCATTCTGCAGAACGATGGTTTGAACACAAACTCAACATCAGCATCTTCATCAGCCACAGAGTTTGCAGCATCAAAAGGTGCTCCGAAACATCCCTACAACGACGGCTTGCGGAAAAAGGAATTCAATGACAGCACCGGCTCCTTTGATTACAGCGGTGGATACACTGTTTCAGCGAAAATCGAACCCAAGTAGTAATTATGGAGTGCAACGAAGTTTTGTGTTAATTAGTTTCTTGTTTCGTATTGTAATTGTCTTGATTTCAACTGACAAATGGGCATGTAATATTTTTACGTTGTGTCTGAGATCTTTTGGATTTGATGCAAGACTTCTTTAAACGTGCTTTCTAACATTTCTTCCAGGAAAAAGATTGTTTGAAAACTCAACAGTTTAATTTTTACTGAAAGTTTGAGCTAACACTCACGATTTGTAATCGGGTTTGCGATTATCCAAAAAGAATTGTAAAATTTACTTTTGGCTGTCATTTTCGCTGCAGACGTAGCTTTTAAAAATTTATGTAGGACGTTGGAGAGATGTTCCGACTGTCAAAACGGATCTGATCGTGGTCACAAATATTTTTGGTTGATTTTTACTATTTTTTTTTATTAAAACGATAAATTTTGTTAGAATAGTTACCGACGGAGTTTGATCTCACTCCATCATGCAAGAGCTCAACCAATTTTCACGTTGTAGTAAAAGGCCACTTACTTCACAAGATTAAATATTCAATAAAAATACTACATAAATTAATAAATAGTGAAACTGCTTACAAATGGTGTAAAACTCAATGATCGCAAAAATGGGTGAGTGTTGCTCAATAATCACATTTTCACAAAAAAAAAAAAAAATGAAAATATGAGCAAGCATACATCAACAATTAAGCGTTCGTTTGGAAGCTTTTAAAATAGTTGAAAGCACTTTTGGTGAAAATATTTTTAAAACCATTTTTAATAAAAATGCAAGCAAATTCTAGAAAAACACTTGAAGTGTTTTTGAGATCTAAAAACATTTTCATTACTAACGCTTTTAGCCGTTATTTTAAAAGCACTTTCAAACGAGTCATAACAATCTTTCCATACCTTAATTACCCGATTCTAACATGTATTTAATTATCTGCTAGTAATCCTTCCATCCTTTTCTCTCTAAAATTAATTTTCCCCCCAATTGTTCGATTTCAAATATAAGGCAAAATCTGATAAAAACGTAGGTAATGATAAGGACTTATTTTATCATCCAAATCAAGGCACGCTATTTTATTTTTACCAGAATAAAAGGACTGTTTCATCGACAAAAAATTTAAATGACAAAAACTAGTTTAACAAATCGAGAAAATTAATAGATCATCAGGCAGGCAACGACCTCTATTTTTGTATTTTGGTGCCATTTCTGAAATTCAGATACCATAGTTAAGTAACAAACATAAATAGAACTAAAACAATAAAAATGTATGTAATAAATAATGTGTAAGTGTACTCTATATAGTTTATTGGGTAGAAAACAGGTTTACCTATACCAAATACACGAGAACAACCTGTATGGAATAGATTTATTGTCATTTTGCATTTCATTATGATGAGTCATGTGTAGAGAAACTGAAGCATAATATTGGACTAAAATCGTAAAACGCTACTGGTGACGATTAACTCGTTTTATATAGATCATCTCCAGTCAAGGGGCTAAGGCAATATTTAGCTTTAAAATTGACAAAATTAGTTGCAAATCAAAGCGCTAAAGAGAATAAGGCTAAAAGAATCAGAATAAGTTTGACCTTATCAAATGCAGCATGCAACCTCAATGTAGACAAAAGATTGTAAAATAATATAATATCAAGAGAAATAAAATATAACCTTGCATAGTTGGACATAGAAAAACTTTGCCCTAAAGTAGTCATAAAATTTGATGGACTAAAACATAGTTAAGCACCACGTTTAGCCTTCCATTACTGTGGATAGCCTATGTTCCTTTTTAGAAGCACAAATGTAAAATAATAACGCTACGCGTGTCTATATATCTACAGGGGATATTGCTCCTATTTTTAGCTTTATAAAAAGGAAAAGGAGTCCAGTGACGAGTGATATCCTCGCAAACGTTAGAGAATTGGATCTAACCCAAAAAATAAGTGTTCGTGATATTTACATACCTTATTTTACTTTTTACATACAATTTTTATTTTTAACCATCAGATCGAATAAAGTGAAGAAGATCAATGAATATAAATTATTAACAAGTGTGTGAGAAGTAAAATAAGATGGGTAGATAGCATATTCCAAAAATAATAACAAACAAAAAATAAATAAAATATTAACCGCCAGGGATAAAAAATTTAATCCCACCAAAAAGCCGGAGACAACGGTAAGCTCTTCTTTTCTTCTCTTTTTCTTTTCAGAAAAAAAAGGAAGAACAAGGTCACAGTTTGTTGTGCTAAAAGTAGGAAAATCCAATCCGTGCCGGACTGTCCAATCCAGTCCAATCCCATCCCATCCAGCTTTTGATTCGGAATCGAAGTGAGAGAGACAGTGAGCTCAGAAACAACCAATCAAATCATTAGAAATGATGATTCGTGCCACAGAGGAAGCACCGCGTTTCACTTGTTGATGCGACGGCGACGGCGACGGCGTTTGGGAGTGCGAGTGCGAGTGGGACTTCGCATTTGATGTTGACACTGCAACAACAACCGGATGAGGAGGAAGAAGAAGAAGGATTAGTGTTAATTGTGGTGGATTTGGTGCTTAATCGCGGCAATGAAATCGGATTAGGTGGGGCTGGCGGAGCAATGAAGGGCGGGGTTGCGGGCGGTAGTTATTCCGGGAAGCGGCGATGGAAGGGGTTGGTGATTGGAGTGTTGGGTCTGGTTTTTCTTTCCATGCTCGTTCCTCTTCTCTTACTTCTCGGCCTTCACAATGGCTTTCACCCTCCCGGTTACACTCTCTCTCTCTCTCTCTAGATCTGTTTCTCTCAGATCCGATTTTGCTTTTGCAACGGTAGTTTTGGATCTCTCTCAAATCTCGGTTTGTTCTTTTTGTTCATAATATGCAGGATATGTACCAGAACAACGAAATTCGCCTTCAGTAAGAACTAGAACTTTGTTTTGTTAATTTGGAATTGTTTTCTGTATCCTACATTCTTGGCGTTGATCTGTTTTAATTTGGATATGGTACAAAAATCATCATAAATGCTTCTAATCTGTTAGGGGTAAACTATACTAGCCAGCTTTGTAAATCGAATTCATGGGTAGAAACACATTGGTGAAGATAAATTACCGATTATTTGGTTTCTTGCAGGGGGGTGGCTCGAAGCATGTAGATGATTTCGTGAAAAATTTCACACCAACCCTTTCAAAGGTTCGTTGCCTGCTGCTCTGGTGTTAGGTTTTTTATGGTACCGCTGCTTTTCGTTTGATACAATGCTTAGTTAGTTATAGGGAAATAGGCTCGTAGATGAAACATCACTTAGCTTCCAGACAAATGCTACTGAAATGTGTGATATTTATTGATAAGGGCAATGTTTACGTGTTAAAATTCTTCAAAATTAGACATTGTGTCTCGTTGAGATAAATTCTGCTAGGAATTTGTTTATCTATTTAAGAGTTGTGATGCTGGAAAGTCTTAACTATTAATGTGTAAGGGGCCGGAAAGAATTTACATACGGTATTCATCAACTTCCTCATCCACCTGGGTCATCTAAGAACTTTTAAGTCTTGGCGTGGTCCTCTAAAAAGTGTTAAAACTATGGGAAAATACAGCAATAATACAAAATAAGCTCTGAAGTATCCGAGTACTGTACATTTTAATTCATCATTAACGAGTCACATGCAATTAGCTGGTTTTGATTTTTCTTTCTCTATGTTTAGGCGTTGGCTAGATCCAATAACTGGATTTTGAATTATTCTAACACGTCTAAGAGTTCTTCAGGATGTGTTTTAGACTTTTTAGTTCAGGAGCTTGAGGAATAAACACTATAGTAACCAATAGACACTTCCTTTCGAATTAGGACAAGTACAACTGTTTTGTTCCGTTATCAAAGATCATAAGCTTTTGATTGGTTCTTGTGAATTGTACTTGATGGGGAAATCCGTGGCCCTATATTTTATGTTTCTAACTGTAGGATATGTGTACCTTCGGAGGATCTGAAAACTAATTATGGGCACATACAAATTTTTTTCTGTAAGTCTTGGCATTTAATCTGTCTTTGAGATGAGAAAATTAAAGATCCAGAGTGAAGAAATATCTTTATAATTTACCATACTAGTTTCTCCATCTGTGGTTCTATTTATTTCGTGGGTCTTCCCAGTCTTTCATAGTTGCTGCCTAATTAACAGAATTTGTATCTTAGGAACACCCACCTATCCAGGTTCTTGGGGTTTGGGTTAAGGCAGCCATTCACTAATCCATAATATGAGAATTAATTTTTTGACTCTCGTGTTTGGCATTTAAGGCCTATATTTTATTCATTTGGTCTACAAAACCATTGCAGCAATATTTTATTCATTTGGTCTACAAACACGGTCAATAATTTGAGTGATGTGATTCAGGCATCTCAAGTCTTCAATGACCTGATTGATTTCTCTACCTTTATTTGTTTTGTGCCAGGATATGCTAAAGAATATTTCACATAAAGTTATTTCACGTAAAGCTGAAAATGAAACCAAAAATATCAGTGTCGTTCACAACAATGAACAAGCCAGTGTCGTCCACAGCAATGAACAATCAAAAGGCCTGTTAATGTTCAATGCCTTCTAAGGTTTGTCTATCCTTTTTACTTGCCACGTAATAGATTCTAACTCGAATTTTGTTTTCAGTAACTGCGGAGTTTCAGCTCCACCTCATGATGGTCCGCACTCGCTTCCCATTGAAAATGTATGCATGAATCAGCCATCTTTTTTGCTTGGAATCTGATTAACATGCTAACGGATTCTGTTCTTGTATAGCTATTGCCTTCTGCTCTGTTTAATTTGGATCTTTGCGGCAGAACTCTAAAGCTGGTGACTCAGCTCAAATCATTGATTATGCGAAAGGTGGTGTGGATCAAAGTGGAAAATCATGCGTGTTGAAGTTTGGGAGCTACTGCCTTTGGCGTGAACGACATAGAGAAGACATGAAGGATGCTATGGTGAAGAGATTGAAGGTTCAACTATTTGTGGCTCGAGCATATTTTCCTAATGTCATGAAACTTCCATCACGGGACAAGTTGTCTCGTGAGCTGAGACAAAATATTCAGGAGGTGGAGCGTGTTCTTGGTGAAAGTACTACAGATGTTGATCTTCCCCAACAGTAAGTCATGGAAACTATTCGTTTATATTCCCATTTTCTGCTCATTCAATGACAATAAAAAAGGGTTTGTGCTACAGATGTTTGTGCCTTCTGGTGCGTTTTCGATTTTTACTGATTTTTTTCTCCCTAAGGTAGTCTCCAACGGGAGGGTGGAAACAAAAAAACCCCAAATTTTTGGGTCCAAATCATATTATATGTATTAAAACCCAGTTTTGGGTTACTGTTGATCTATAGTGTGTGGACGGACTTGCCCCTCCAGCTGTTACCATCAACCTATTTCCCTGAATTGCACAGTAAATTTACTAATTTGCCCCTGATGTACACGTGTTGGTCATTGTGGCTTTTCCATTTGTTTCCAAAACAAAGCTTTTTCATTTGTTCGTAGATGAATCTCTCCATTTTCCCTTAAATTGAAACAAAAACCTGCGTTCATCCAAATCAACCCTACAATCCCGAAACCAAAATTCATCCAGATCGTTCCAGTCTTCAACCTCAAATCAAAATCATAGAGTATCATGAATTGCTCACCTTCCCTATCTCAAAAACAAAAACATCTTAGAAACTTAGTCTTCCCTCTCGCAGTTGAATCCCGTTCGGATTCGGAGAAAATTTTGAAACCCAGAAAAAGCATGGGTTTCCTGGTGAGTTCTCCGATTTTAGGAAAGACTATCACTTCTCTCTCTTCCATCCCTCCCACTGTCTCCGACTCTTGACCTTTTGCATGTGTATTTTACTGTGGAAAAGTTTGAACTTGAATGAATATTTTTAGTTATTTCTGGCAATATTGCATAATGGTTTGAATGTTTGCTTGATTTTGCACTTCCATTTTGTACTTTTGTTCGTTTTCTGGCTGCTGGTGCTGTTTTGTCATTTATTTATACCTGCATACATATATCTTTGCTTTTAAAGGTATGCGCGTTTGGGCACGAACACCATCTCTTACATATGAGTTATCCTTGAGGAGATGCATATGAATTGGATTGCAGCTGAGGCAACTATTTTGTCGCTGTCCCAGACTCCCCAACCATGCCAGGCATGTAATTCATTATTGGTACGTTAAAGTATGTTAAACACAAGTTTTGGTTTTTTTGTTCCGTAATTAGCTATGTATTTGCCTTAATCTGCATGTGTGTAGTGTAGATAATCTCAACCAACATTATAGAATCCATGTTCTGTGAAAAAATTAGAATGTTCTGAGATGGAAAAGGTTACGATAAATTGGAAGGTAGAAATTCTATTATGAGTTCTCCTGTTGATTTGGGGCAGGTAATATAAACTTTTATGTAAATTTATTTTTTGGATGCTTAATTTCTTCCGAAAACAAATAGTGTTTATCATCACCAAGTTGTACAAAGAATATTTTAAAGTGTTTTTTAACCAATCTATTGTCAAGTTTTCTGGCGGGTTTCTTATTTTATTTTTCGTTGTTTTGCAAGAAACCAGAGCCTTTCCATGCTCAAGAGTTCCACAGGTATGTCACCGCTCTTTTACATATTTCTGCTTTGATTTCCAATACGAGGTTAAAGCCTTTGTTTTCCCTCAAAGGACATAAATTATGTGTTTTCTTTAATCATTTTGTTATAATAGTGAACCCATTTCAATTTATTACCAACTGAATCCTAATTTGTTCAATTTCTTTTCATCTGGCAATTGAGTGTGGTTGTTTGTCATTCTCTTTGAGGTGAGATAAAGTTTATGTCTGTAAATATATGTATCTTAACAACAACCATGGGGGTTGCTAATGGCTTTTTTATTCACTAAATTTTTTTTTTTTTCAAGTGCTTCTCTAGAATTTAATCCTTTTTGTCATTATATATATTGCAGAAATTACAAGCTATGCTACAATCCCAGTTAGTGTTTTAAGTTGTTAACTTACTATTTAAACTTCAATTTTCCAGCCCCATTACGAAAATTTGCTAGGCTTTTCAGGTGATGTACATCCGTTGCCGACCAGGGTGGACTGTGCATCAAAGATATATATCTTTGTGTGTCTATTTACTTACCCTTTTCGAACTTTATACTTCTCGAGTGAAATGGTAATTTAATTTCTTAAGCTTACCGTTTATCGCTGTAAAAGAGAGTCCAACCACAACGACTGAATTGATTATCTTCATGCATAAGGATACTAGATTCCCTAGTCTAAAAGATTTTAAAATCATCACAAACCTCCCTTTTTTCTTTTCTATTGCAATTTCTGGATTATTATATGATGATTTTTTAACTTTCCATATATATATATATATAGAAATAGAAAGAGATGGACTAGAAACGACATCTCTTATCTCAATGACACCAAAGGGATTTTAAATGAATGGAATTGGGTGGCCTATTTTCTGAGCATTATAATGTCTACGTTTACACATTATCCAACTTGCTTCCAGGAAATTAAGATTATTAAATGCATGTATAGAATTTTGTTTAAGGGGAGAAAGAATTTTGAATTTTAGTCTTTATTTGATTCTTAAATATTTGTATAATTCAAGGAAAGAACATGTATGCTTTTTTGGTGGATTTGATTCAAATTGGTGGATTTCGGTAAGAAAGAAACTTTAATTTTTTCTTTTGGCGGTTTTAAGAACTGAAATGGACATGCATGAGATTGAAGAATTTTTGGTTTATCTTACTGGGATGAGAGGGTATTGTCAGAACAATTGTTTAGCATGACAGTATTAAATAATCAATTTGATAAATTAAAATGGTGTGATTGAATAAGATTATCTGTTGGGTGAACCTATATATGCTTGATAAATTGTTTAATGAATTTTCAATCTCTGTGTATTTGAGATTGCCTCTTTTTTCTTTTTTTTTTAATTTAAATTTTATTTGTTCATGGTCAAGGAAAATTCTGGTACCCAAATCATTTGACTTAATTTTATTTCCAGTTTTAAAAGTTTTTCCTGTAATTTTCTGTAATAAAAGTATTGTTTTGTTGCAAAAAGCAGGGCCACTCTGTTTAGGGCTTGAAGATTTCTACATTCACCAGGTTTATCTTCGACTTCAGGTATTTCGTTACTTAAAGTCAACTGCAACTGCACAGTTTGGTTATGATTGGGTAAAATAGGTTGATTATCTGCATATTTCATGAGGATATCAATAGGGACTATCTATCAATTTTTGTGTGTAAATAGTATGTAGATGCACATCAAATATTATTTTTTGTATGTAAATAAAATTACATACAAAAAAATTTGTACGATTAAGGACAGTTAGGAGTTCAATTTGTAAAAGATGTAAATATTAGAACAATGGCAATAGAACCGCCAATCCATATGGTTGTAAATAGATTCCTACATGTAAATAGTATTGCATATTGTATGTATTTAAAACTTTATACATATTTTATACAGTTTTAAAACCTACAGCATCGTGCAGGCACCGTTGCTAGTATATACTAAAACCGTGTCCGATTTTTTCAACTTTGCCATTTTACCACTTCCTGCCTACTCCCCCCTCTCGCTCTTGCTCACCGCTTCATGCCGCTTTATCTCCTTTGTCGCTCACAATCATTGCAAACAACCCCAAACCAACAAATCCATTTTCGCAATTTCTCTTAGAATCGCGGCTTCTCTCTCGCTCATCGCTTGCAAATCTCAACCGCAGCCGCACTACAAACCCATCTGGACGGAAAACCCATAAAGAAATCTTGGTCGTCGACCGACAACCGGACTGCAACATCGTCTTGACTCACCCCAGCATTAGCAGATTCTAGCTTCAAGCCCTCTCCGACCCTTCTACCCAAAAGCTCTCTCACTGATTTGTCATCAGGTAATATACTGGAGTTTTAATTTGGCATTTGATTGAAGTTTTCTTTGCATAAAATAAGAAAACAAACGCAAATCCTCAAACTAACATATAAAATTCTACAAATTCTCTCACATTTAATCGAATCGATCTCAAGTGTTAAGGTTTTAGGGTTTCGGTCTCCAAATTCCGGCGAATTGTTTCCGTATGAACATCAGTGACAAAATATGTTGTTTGGTTGTCGAGAAAATATGTAAAAAAATGATATTCTTCTCAACATATTTAAATAATTTCGTTGGATAAATTCGTCCATGAACCTTAAATTTTATGTTTGATTGGTATATGTTTTCATAATTAGATCATATCAAGCTCCATTCATGTCCACTTCTATTCATAAGAGCCCATCTTCTGTCAATAGCAACAATGGAGGCTAGGCCTGAAGCCGAACCAGAACCAAAAGAAATTGAAGAGAGTTATGAACCTCTTCTCAAATACAAGGTAATTAAAACTAAAATATCTTTTTTATGAACACCAATCAGCTTCTTTGCCCGCTAGGTCTATTGTTCTTCATTTTGCATGTCTTTCAAAGGATGTTTGAGGATAGAGATTTAATACTCCTCAATTTGGGATTTCTGTGTTGTAGATTTTGCAACATCGGTTGCATGGGAGATAGGGAAGCCGTTGGTGATGTAGAGGGTGAAGGTTGCTCCACCTAAGGCCATGTAAATAAGGGTAAGGGTCAATATACCTCAGTTTATCACACTGAACTCTACTTCTGCCGAAGGTCAGCAATAATAGCTACTACATACATATAATATACATAATACACACACACACACACGTGTATCTATATATATATATATATATATATATATATATGATTTTATATGATTAACCCTTAAGAACACACACGCACGCGCACACACACATATCTATATATATATATGATTTTATATGATTAACCTTTAAGAATTGCAGATTTGTAAACTATGAGTAGAGTTTTCTAGGCACATTTACTTCGGGTGAATACATTGTTGTTCATTTTGGCCTTCTTTCCAAAATCAAGCCCCTTGCTCAGTTGGACAAAGTTTTCATCCTCAGTTGCGCCATACCGACATGTTTGGTGTCCTACTCAATGATTTAGAGTGTTGAATATACATCCTAAATTGATACTAAATATTGAATCATTTGAACCATACTGAATATTTTGTTTTTTAATATCAGGTTTGGGTGCCCCTCTCAATGTAGCAAAAACAAAAAATTATCCTCAGTTGCTGTTTATTGGCCTCGCTGTAAGTTTGGACAAACTTTGTTGATCCCAAATTCTTTGTTTTAATAAATTGCATTTATTTTATTTTCCGAATATTGATACGTGCATGATCTAGGCTATTGAAGGTGCAAGAATTTCTGGGGCACCACTAAGTATTGGGGTGGAGTCGGTGGACCTGAAGCCCAAGAGGTTTGACAAAGGTATTTATTTATTTATTTTTTACGTTTGGATTTGTATTATTATATCCAGATGCGGAATAGTGATAAACTCTTTCGATGTAAGTCTTCCTCCATACCAATGTTATGTATAGAGAGAGAGGAATAAGCTTAAGCTACTTATGAGTTGGAATTAAACTTGGGATGTGGAGTTTCTTTACATAAGTGGCTTTTAGGGTGATGAATCAAACTCAAAATCTCAAATACAGGAGTGAATGCGTCCGCTTGGTGGCTTGGTTTGAAATTAATATCTTACTGTTTCGTGAACTTATAAATGCTAAGACTCAAAACTTATTATTTTACACAAAACTTAGTCATTTGACAGGATAACCCTTTGTCCAAACGATGCCAAAAAGTCAACAACTAAAAGTCATTGGCAATTATTAGAGCTGAGTTAAGGAAAGAGATCCTCTTCAGATCTCTTCATCAAGTCCAACAAATCCATCCATCCGGATCATTGAAATTTGATTCAACGACTATAAACAAGGGGTCCTTTTAAAATTATAATAACTTAAGTTGTTGTATCAAATTTCAATTATCCATATAAGTGAACTTGGTGAACTTGGTGAAAGGGATCCGGAGGATCCTTTTCCCTGAGTTAATTGTGATTTTGATCGTTCGACATAAGACCTTAATCAAATAGTACTGTAGTATATGTACGACTTAGTCTCCCCGGATCCTTTTCCCTGAGTTAATTGTGATTTTGATCGTTCGACATAAGACCTTAATCAAATAGTACTGTAGTATATGTACGACTTAGTCTCCAATGTCTCTGTTGCAGTCTCTGTCATTGGTCGTAGACTTAAAATTTTAGCACTACAAAGCATTAGGCATAGACCTAAAGTCTCGAAGCCTTACGGATGAATCTGAGACTCATTTTGGGGGCGACGTCTTTCAGGCTCTCACGTTGTCTCGATGTTACATGTTTTTAGTTTTGTTTTTACAAATCAATAATAGAATCTTAGACCTTGAAAGCAAGAGTGATTCTCTTAACTAAATGAGTCACAACTGTTTGTCATATTGCCTTCAACTTAACCACAGTTAAATGTTTAGTCTCAAACTATCTCAATTCAGTGTAAGGCAATTAGGTCAAATCAATATTGGATACGTTACAACCACTAGAGGTGCCTAGTGCTTGTGGATGAATTCCAAGTTCGTATTCCACACGGCATTTTCTGGGTTCGATTCCTAGCATTGGTGAATCATAAGACGGTAGCCAATGAGAGTCTGAAATGCTTCTATGAGTCTTGCTTTTGAAAGATGGACTATAGTGGTGAAGCCACTAGCTAGTCCCATTATAAAAAAAAAAAAAAAGAAAAAAAAATAGATATGATACATACGTACAATGATTGTTCATGGTTGATGCCCTCTGCTACTTATTTACGTGTGTGAACAACGCAGACGTAGAAAAGGGAAGAATCAAACTCCAAGTTTCAATCACAAAGTTAAATACTTTTCACTGTTTGAGCTCCAAATCTCTTCCAAAATGTTGCGTTTTTTATTCCCTTAGCTTGAATTTCTTGTGAACGAAAAACCCTATTGTTGGAGTTCTTATTGGTGGGTGTTAGACGGCAATTTGTACTTGGTTTGTGTATTTGGACTTTGACTCACTAAAAGAAAGAATTTTCTTTGTTGTAGTGAATTTGGATATTTTATTTAATAGACAATCTCGGTTAAAGTGGTTTGACCATGTGAAACGAAGACATATACAGATGCTTCGGTTAGAAAATGCAATTATGAGACAAAAGCTTAGGGTAAAAACAGTAGAGGAAGACTTGGAATGAAACTTTAAGAAAATACATGAGTATTTGAAGCTAATGGAAGAGTTGGTGCAAAACCGAGCGTAGTGATGTTGTAAGATTTTTATAGCCGACTCTACTTAATGAAATAAGGCTTTATTATTATTGTAGACAGAGTCACACTCTAGAAATCGTCTGTTTGAATAAGATGTAAATTTTTATTCAACAATCATGGGGATCTAATCTTTGATTAAATATGCTTGAATGCTAAGAAAACAAAAGGAGAAGAAGACCCTACCTTCATAAAAATGGCCTCAACCGTCACCACCACCTAGTGGAGAAGAAGACCCTACCTTCATAAAAATGAACTTACTCCTCTTATCTATTTCTTACGAAATCTGGTTCCCAAATTGACCCGCCATTCGAATCCAATGGTTGTAGTGCCTCATGAGTTTTGATCTAGTGTTGCGAGCTAACTATATCCTTTTTAAATTGAATGGCTCAAATTCAATTTAATCAATTTTAACTGTAATAAAAAGATCAAATGGCTCAAATTTAAATTAAACTGTCAAAATAACATTATTTATTAACCAAATCATATCCAACACCAAAACTCTATAAATACACATCCATGTGTTCATTAATCCATTAAAATTTCAATTTTCTCAACAATTTTTTTTGTTCAGAATTTGAATTTTTTTACATCAAATGTTTGCAAAAATAAAACAACATAGATTATACAAAAGCTAATTCCAAAATTATTAACGAAAAAAAAAAATCAACTAAATATGAAAGTTTAACAAATTATAAAGTTTGGGGTGGAAAAAAAATGTCTAACCTCAAGTGTCGAACTCACTATTGCTGGCAGTTGCAATGCTAATACTGGTTTAGGGGTTCACGACACAGATGTAGGCCAGCAACGTTTGGTTTGGGATGAAAGGATTCTTTGCCATCCAAATGGAAGTAGATTTTTTTGTGTCAACTGTCTCTCTTGTCCAAACATCAATTTAGTTGCAATATTAGGGAAGTATCAAGTGTCACTCCTCACTTGGATAAGAAGTATGGTTATTGTAAGCTCATAGTCACGAGAACAATTTACATGAAACGAGTGTTGGCGTGAGTCAACGTTTTTTATATTTATTGTAAATTTGTAATTTCTTTATGGATAGGGATTTCATTCTTGATGAGGGATTTCATGCATCTTGTACTTGTATCAATCTTCCTCGAAAGAAGAATATACAACAATTACCCTAAAATTTTCCTACAATTTTATAGATACCTATTAGCTACTATGACGTTCCGGTCCAATAATACATTCTCAAATATATGGAAAAAAGCCTTATACATGACAATGTATTGTTCGAGCTCCAAATCTCTTCCAAAATGTTGCGTTTTTTATTCCCTTAGTTTGAATTTTCTTTGTGAACCAAAAACCCTATTGTTGTGGTTGTTCTTATTGGTGGGTGTTAGACGGCAATTTGTACTTGGTTTGTGAATTTGGACTTTGACTCACTAAAAGAAAGAATTTTCTTTGTTGAAGTGAATTTGGATATTTTATTTATTAGACAGTCTCAGTTAAGGTGGTTTGATCATGTGAAACAAAGGCATATACAGATGTTCCGGTTAGAAAATACGATTATAGGATAGAGGCTTAGGGCAAAAGGAGTAGAGAAAGACTTGGAATGAAACTTTAAGAAAAGACATGGAGTATTTGGAGCTAATGGAAGACTTGACTCAAAACCGAGCGCAGTAACATTCTAATGTTCATATAGCCGACTCCACTTAATCAAATAAGGCTTTATTGTTGTCGTAGACACAATCACACTCTAGAAATAGTCTGTCTGAATAAGATGTAAATTTTTATTCAACAATCACGGGGATCTAATCTTTGATTAAATATGCTTGAATGCTAAGAAAACAAAAGGAGAAGAAGACCCTACCTTCATAAAAATGGCCTCAACCTGTGGAGGCAATGACATTAGTTACAGACACACTATAGTTCGTCCTTACTCCTTACTCCTCTTATCCATTTCTTACGAAAACTGGTTCCTAGTTGCAGATAAATTAGGGTTTAACTTATATGCTGTTTTAATGCCATGTATTTCTAAAATATGAGAGAAACTTGCTTGCAAGGACGTTATTGGCGGCATCTCTGTTAATAATGTGCGGTCATGACTTATAACTTGTTCAATATCTTTTAAGCCTATAATGCGTCCTCGTATATTTTAGTGTGTCGACCTAGACACGAATACAATCAGTTTACCAAATTGATTGCATGTAAGTTCTTCTCATTTAAGACGGGTGATGCACTTAAGAAAGAATGACTCTATAAACAATTACTATATATATATATATATTGTTTGACTCCTTATATATAGAAAAGTTATTTTTCTTCCACATGAACATCTTTAAAAAAATTATTTGATTTAGAAATTCTTTAGTTAATAATATGAATCACACAAATTGATGGTTCATAATAAGGGTGTTACTTGTTATCATGATTGTCGATTGGTCTGGCATATATGGATAACTAAATTGGGTCCAAACGAATGAATTTTTGTAGAGATAGTTGTTAGATGGTGATAAAAAGAATGAACAATTCCGAAAATAATACGACAAAATTATATCATGTCATGGCTGAAGGAGGAAGAATAACCATATGTATTGTCTCTTAATTTTAAGTGGTCAAATTGATTACTTTTTAAGTTACAATTGTCGATTATCAATATTGATTGTTATGTTCTTATGTGATCGATATATCGTTATCTAATTTTGATTAGTTCTGAACATATTAGATATTTCCTTAGAAAACGACATTATTGCATTCAACAAGAAAATGGATAAAACCAGAAATCGGTCCCAGCCGAAGGAGGAGGAGCCCGTCGCCTTTAATTTGCAAGTTGTAATCTTAATTAATTTTCATAATTTAATTGAGAGTCCCATTTAGGTCATATATTCAAAAGAAACCTGCTTTGGCTTGTTCATATTGCTGCCTTCACTGTATTTGTATTCTGCGTTTTCTTCTCTCAAATCGCGCGGGCAGGCGGAGGAAACGGTAAAACCTCCCACTTTATTTAATTAATTTAATCACTTTATTTAATTAGTTTAATTTAATCTAATTCTATGCTAATGGACTATGACTACGACAGAGAGTGATTAGGATGATGGTTGTTTTTTGTTCTGGACTAACTGGAAAGATCAGATGATTTTGGTTTGTGGGTTTAATCAAATTGCTTTGGCTTCTAAGACAAGGCTTAATCGTTTAAAAGAAGCTGAAAGAAGCCAGCCCTAAACCTTTTTCTCTCTAGTTTCTCTCTCTCTCTAGATATTGTAGCCTGCAGGGTATTTTTTTTGGAGACAGTTGAAAGAACCCAACTCAGGAAATCCAGCTTTACTGCTCAAAAATAAGCAGAGCTTCCAAAAAAAGCTCTTTTTTGGTTGCTTGGTGCTTGGTGGGGACGTGGA